CACGTTGTGAAAGTCTGTAAAATATTGTAAATTTTATTTCAATTTTTTAATAAAGACAAGCCATCGTGGCATGATTGCAGGTTATTAAAAAAAATATATTTTGAAAAAAGAGATAAAGAGTTAAATAGAAATTTATATACTGGATTTTTAGATATATAAACAAGAAATCAAAAAACTTTAGTAGAAATAAAAGAAAAAATCTATAAAGAAATTAACTTGATAACTAGGACACTAAGAAAGAAAAAAGTAATAAATAAACAAATACTTTATATTTTAAATAGAATCTTGATCATAAGAATAAAATTTCAAATATAGTATAATATATTATTGCTGAAAACATGCAATTACCTAATAGCTAGATTCTGAAAGCTGTTTAAGATAAAAAGTATATTATACAGATTAATACTTAATAGTTTAGTATATTATTTAAAAATCTACAGTTTCAAAATCATATGAATGCTATAAAGAAAAAGCCAAATTACAGATCTTTGCAATAAATTAAATAATAAAGGTTTACTAGATCTTACAACAATTATCAGGTTCAAATAGGCATAGCTAAAGTACTGAAATCTCAAAACTTGTATAGTAGTAAAAGATTAGATCAAATAGTAGATAAGAAAAACTTCTCAATACAAGTAAAAGATTTAGATATAACTTTTCAGAACTAGAAATGAGATAAAACCTTTAAATAGAAAAAGAATAATAACTTAATTCAGAAATACCTATGAAAAAATAATATTGAAGAGTCACTTTATCTCTGCATAACAATAGACCAATATATCTAGATCAAATTATAGAAAAAAAAACCATAAAACTAAAAGAGTAAAGATTGATTTAATTATTTCAATTATAAGTAAAGAACTAATTTCAGATTGATATAGTAAATTGTTATACTCATTATTATCAGAAACAATAGAGAAAATTATTGAAAAATAATATAATAATAATATATTATAGAAATCTATTACCTAAAACTCAATTAAAGTAGAGACAAAAGACAAAAAATCTGATATATTCCAAACAAAAGTTTAAAAAATTAATCTTGGAAAAAGTTTTAAAATCAAAAGTAGAGATTGGGAATAGTATTATCTTAGTATATTAAATATATAAAAGATATATTCACAAATTGTTTATGTAATATAAATATAAAAAAATACAATATCCATGAAATTACTTTTTTGAATAAACATAAATTAACAAGAACAACTAATGATCAAAAATTTTAATAAGAAATAAATATAAAAAAAAATACTAAACAAAATTCAGTATATTAAAATATTTCAAGAACTAAAAAATCAAATACCATAAACAATGATCAAATAATAGAAAACAAGAATTACTGAAAAATATATTCAAAAAGAAATTTATTAAGACTATTTAAAATAAATTTTAAAAAGAAATCTAAAGAAACAAGTAATACTGCAGTTTTACTTAGATAGATTTCTAATAGATTATAAAAAAAAAACAATCAAATAAGAATAGTATGGATCTAAATAAGTAGTAAAGAACAAGTGAGTAGGTTTTAAGCAAAAATACAAAACTAATTATCTTTCACAAGAGCAAAACTAATAGTAATAGTCACAACTCTATTAATAATACAAATAAAAAGCTTAGTTGAAATCTATATAGATAATTAAATATACTGTATATTATATATTTAAGTAAAACAATCTGAAAAAAGATAATTTAAGAATAACTTATAAAAGATGACTTAAAGAGAAAACTGGTCCTTTTGAATAAGAATGCTAAGTATTATTCAAGCAAAAAACATAAAATGGAAGTTGAGCAAAATCAAAATATATACCAATATTAGAAAAATTAATATAGTAGACAAACTGATAAAAAAAATACCAAACCTTTTAACAATTAAATAAAAGAATTTCAAATTTGATAAGATTATTACAAAAGTAAAATAATGGAATATAATATGAATAGTCCTATAATATAATTTGTAAAAAGAATAAATAATAAAATAACAATATATAGTTAATTACAACAAAATTGAACTAGAGATAAATAGAATTTTAAATAAAATATTAATAGATTTATTTATAGAATATAATATAAAAAAATTAAAAAAAGAATATATTTAAAATACTTTTTTCAAAAATTTACAATGGAAAAGTTTTTTAATTAAGTTAATTAATAATAAATTGTTTACAATAACTAAGCTAATAATAAGAAAGTCAGATTTATATAAAAAAAATGATTGTTTAATATATAGAAGGCAAGAGAAAATAATAAAACGTCTTATAAAATATTCAATATATAAAAATATTATCAAGAAAGCTTGATTAAAAGGAATAGAAATAGAGATAGTATATCAAGAATTTAATAAAAAGAAACAGAAATAAAAAGACTAAGCCCCCCAAAAATATATTAATATTTTAATAGTTGATAGAAAAAATATAAAAGAAATAGGAGTATAATTAACAAAGATTATAAGAAAGATATTTAAAGAAGTCAAGATATATCAACTTTTTCTTAGAATTGTTTAAAGGTGATTTATTAATAGAAGTTGAAGAACTAGAATATAAAGAAAATAAGATAGAAACATCAATCAAAAAATGGATACTTTATTATTAAAAGAAGGTTTTAAACTATTTTAGAAAAGAAGTATAAATCAAATAATATAATCAAGTTATGGAATGGAAAAAAACTTAAGGAATTCTTTAAAGAAATAAGTTAAAAGATCTACAAAGTCCTATTTAACAAGAAAAACAAGAAGTCCAAGAGGAAAAAGAAAGAAAATTGAGAAAAAATGTCTAAAAAAAGGTTTAATTATAATAATAATAATAAGAGTTAAAAATAATATAAAATTTTTGGATTTAAATTCAGTTAAAACTTTAGTTAATAATCTATAATAGTAAACTGCAAATAATAATAGAAGAATATTAATCCAAACAATAAATGAAGTAACAAATTACTTTCAAAGTTGTACTTACTTAGAATTTGAAAATAAACTAAGAATAGTAAGTTAGTTAGTATTTTAGCTTTCGCAATATTATAAAAAGTATAGTCTATATCATGTTTAATAAAGTATATATAACTAAACTAACAGTGGGTTAAAATAAAAAAAATAAATTTTGATGTCTTATATTTTAGAGAATGTCAAAATAATCAATATCTTTTTAATATAAAAAATTATTAAATATAATACTATATTAAAGAAATGTCAAGATTGAAATAAAAATATATTCATTAATTATTTAAAATCAAATTTTTATTTAAAAAAAGTTATAAACAAGCAAAAAAAATTATCAATAAAAAAGTAATAAGACTTTATTAATAAATATTCTTTTTATGTAGTTAAAGAATTAATAAAAATATTTTTTGAATTATTTGATTTAATTATGAATTATTACAAATAATAATAATAATAAATATTATAAAAAAGATTATTAAAGTTATATATTCAAAAATATATATATATAATTTTTAATTAATAATTATATTATTTTTAAAATAATTAAATAAAAATATTTAATCGTATAAATAAATTAAATTTATGATTTTATAATAAGGATTACAAATTGCAAATTTTACTAATATATTGATATAACTTTAATAAATCTATTTATTAATTTGATTTGGTTTAATAATAATATATTAACTATAAATAAAATTATTAAAATTTTAGAAATTAAATTAATATTTATAAAAATTATACCTAAGTACTGAAAATACAATATTTATTTATTTAAATGCAAATGATTATAATTGTTTGATCTTTGAATCTCATGTAAAATGTATATCAGCATCCATCAAGTTCAGTATTAACTTTTTCCCTAAAATACGAAATGACTTCGTTAGGATTATCGGAACTAAAAATTGAACTTCCTGCTACAATAACATTTGCCCCTGCTTTTGCAGCTTCTTCGATTGTGTCAAGTGCCAGTCCTCCATCAACCTCGATGTCAAGTTTAGGAAACTTCTTTCTAAGTTCTTTTACCTGAACATATATTAATGTTATCATGTCCAAAAAATAAGAGTTAAAATAGTTAAAATGTGAAATTAATATTAGCTTTAATTATTAATATGCGTGGTTAGCAATAATTATTTGATTGTGATACTTGTGAAATCCTTACCTTTGGCATACAATCGTGCATGAACTTTTGACCACCGAAACCGGGTTCGACAGTCATAACCAAACATAAGTCAATTTTATCTGCCAAAGGATAAATCACATCAATTGGTGTTTTGGGTTTGACGGCAATGCCAACTTTCATTCCAGTTTCTCGAATTCTCTCAATGAGTACCAATGGTTCATCTGTTGCTTCTATATGAAAATTATATAGAGAAGCACCTGCTTTTGCAAAGTCATTGATCCACTTTAATGGTTTAAATAAATATTGGGGATTATTAGTCATTACTTATAATTAATTTGAATTGGAGATAGATAGATAGTGAATAAACCTTTTCTGGGTTTGACACCATTAGGTGACAATCTAGAAGAAACAAATTCAAGATGAAGAAAACTCCAGCAATGTAAACTTTACGTCCAAATTATACGGCAAAACTAGCTACCTAAAAATGCATCCGTGTGTTGACGTAAAGATTTGATAACTGGTGCACCGATCGTAAGGTTTGGAACAAAATGTCTGTGTATTGATTAGTAAAAAAGTCGATATTATGGTTTTTTCAATAGAAGGCAGAATAAATTATCCCTACCCATCCATGATGTCTATATAAATGTTCAATATTTAAAATGAATTTAATCATATTAAAAGTTAATGGTTCAAAATAATTCAATCCAAGAATTAGTTACCCATATGCAACCAGTCGGCTCCACAATTTACCATACGTTTTGCCTCGGAAGCAAGATTAGAAAAGTCACTTGATAAAAGAGAAGGTGCTATTTTTGCATTCGGCATTTTGAGCGATATCGAAAAGAAAGAATAGTCGATGTATCTTGTGATAATGTCACATTGTATCGAAGCTGATCGGCAACAATGACGCAAAAAGGCATGCATTTATTCATGATAAATTAGATCATGACGCATTTGTAAAGGCAGATGGTGATCGTATATTACAAATTAAGATATTAAAATCAAACTAGATACTATTACAATAAGCTATTATTTAATTGCAAAGTTAAAGTTATTAAATAGAAAGAAAAAAAAAAAGAAGAAAGTGAATATGTAAAATTATATAAATGTATTATGCGAAATAAAAAGATTAACTTATTTTACTATAAATCAATTTATTTTTTATATTATTTAAAAAACTTGTTACTTTTTTAATTTAAATAAAAACAACAAATTTTTTTAATTTTTTTAAAATTAATAATTCAATTTAAATAAAATTTCAATATTTTATAAATAAATATTTTATAATTTCAATATACTGTATTATAAATAAAATTTTTAATAAAAAATTTATATTTTTAAAAAAATAACAATTTATAATTAAAATAAAATTTAAATATATATTTTTTATTTTATTTTATTTATTTTTTAAACCACAATTGGTATTAGATATAAACTCTTTATTAATAATTAACTTAACATCAATAGATAATAAAATTCATAATATAATATCAATTATCTCATATAAGTTACTGTATATATTTCAATATACATGTAGATTAATAATAATCTATTATAGTTTATCCTAAATAGATCTATTACTATTTCTTAAGTAGGCAAACCTAATTAGAAACTGAATGATTAATATACAGTTATTAATAACAAGACTAGACTAGTTAGTATTGAGTTTACAAAATTTATGTTTCACTAAATTAGTTCTTTTCTGTATATACCTAATGGAATATATTATACTTTTCAATACTTCCAGATATTATTCACTCAGATCTTAGAAATTAATATATTACCTTCTTTGTTATTATCTATGATATTAAATTAGTTCTTATTGATTGATTTTCAATTAAGTATAATATCAGATTAGAATATTTGGAGCTAGGAAAATGTAAGTCTTGAAAACTGTCAAGGTGAAAAGGTCTTAATACATTTATAAGATATTAAATCAAATACCTTTCTTTATACAATTCTTCAGTAATACAACTATAAATCTCAGCCTTAATTGATAGAAAATCAAGTCCTATTTTATGCAATCTAATCTAATTTTAATCTTGTTTCAGATAATTGAATATGATTTTTATAAAATAACTAATAAACCTAATCAGAAGTTAATTTTTGATTTTTTTAATCCTTAAGTAATATTAAACTAAAAATCCTATAATTATGATCTAGAAGCACTATTACTGTATTATTTATCTACAGATCTCTTATTTTTTTTTTATATTATTAATAATTAAACTAATATAAATAAAAGTATAAATATATTTTTTTAATTAATCCACAATCATGTCAAAATAGCTTGTCTTTATTAAAATACTTGAAAAAATATCAAAATAATTTATAAATCTTCATATGTAATGACTAACTCATCTTTATATATTATTAGTTAAAGGATTATACTATTTAAAAAATATAAGATATCTATTAAGCTAGTTTGAACTAAACAATACTAAATCTCAACTAAGTACTCTAAACTATATTTAGGAAACAATATTATGCTCTTCTAGTAGTTTGACATAATACTTCTAAGTTAACTAGAATTATTGCCAACAGTTTATTACTATTGATTATTCTGAAAAATGATAAATTACTAAAGTTGACACTAGAAATGCGGCTATCCAATTCATGGATT